CCCCCCCATCTTTTTGTAGTTCTATCGTGTCTTTTATTCCTAGAGCTTTCTCTTTCGTCCTTCCTGGTTCACTCCCATACACAGGTCGGTACAGAATGACAACATCCCAGAACTTCTTGGTTTGTTTGTTTATATCCCCAACCTGTCATCTCTCTGTTGGTACAGGTAGGCCGGCTAGTAGCAAAAGTGGCCACATACCAGCACATATGTCTGCGCCATTCAAGACGAAACCGGAGACAGCTGTCAGAGGAGGGGCTCACCGGAAACAGACGAGGCAGATCTCCCAGCAGACGCGACTTCAACGGTCAGGGGCAACTAGTGGGCTGTTGCTAGGCAACAAGACGTATAAAACTTTGCCGGGAATTAAGGCGAAACAGGGACAGGTAGAAAATACAAACGCTCCATTGATGCCTGCTAGTAGTCCTGAGAGTGGGGGTATCTATCAGCCGTGTCCAGACACAATACAGAGTGGTGCCTCTGGATCACCGACTCAGCAGGAACTGAAGTATTCTTCTTTCGATGAGATTGTCGGAAGTAGTGACAGCACGGGCTCAGAGAGGGAGAACGCTGTCAGGACTTGTACAACTGGCCATGACCTTCCTTGTGACGGGCACGACAGAGCCAGAGACACGGTGACAGTTCACAGCAAGACAATACAGCAGTCGCAGAAAGATCTTGTCTCTGACGACAGAGATGGTCAGGACATAAATAGCTGCCATGCAGCGGAAGTGGAGTGTCCTAAGTCTTTGGACCTAAAGACAATTGGGTACGTAATATATATGTGTCACGACTTGGTGGAATCGGGCGCTCGTCAATTTTTGAGCATATAGAGCTGTTAGTATCATCTTATACCTCGTTCGTTTGTTTTGCACTTTTTTAAAAAAATACCCATTTATCTTGTATAGAAGTCGAGATATTTGCTATTGAAGCAGATGGGGGTTGTCTTATGTGAGAGGTAAAATTAGCGAGAAAATGGCCCCCAAAAATTGGTGACTTTCAAAGCTTGAGGATCCTTGGAAACTGTAACTTTACATTTTTCGTGCCTTTAATGAACGTTCTTCGGTAACATCTACTCAAAAATGCGTTTCCAAAAGGACATTAAACGTGCGGAGTCAAAAATGACGTTTTCTTTAATTTCATTGTTTTGACAAGCGCCTGATTTCACCATGCTGCCTTACATACATCATCTTAATTTTGAATTTTAGCGGAGTCGATTTTACTGGAGATGCAAAAAATTTATTTGGTTTCAATACGCAACAATCTAGGGGCCAGCGGGTTGTTTGACGCTATTTCTAACGTTTCTGGAGCATTCAGACCTGTCTTTTTAAAATTTATCTTTATTTGTTGTTGGGTTTTTTTTGGAAAGTGTTTTACAGTGCTCGCAACTGCATAAGGTCATATGAGCGCACTGGACACATTAAGCATTTTCAGTTTGGTATGAATTCATTTTGAATTTTGCCTGTGTGACGGTTGAAGCCTACTCTTTTCAGACCTCCGGAGGGATATTTAAGGTGCACAACTTGCACAAGAGACCTCCAAGATATTTTCATCCTTGTCTGAGAAGGCTAGGTGTTAGATAATTTTTACCTACCATAAGATCAGGGGTGTGGCTGAAAGACAGCAGGGAAGGGGTAGAAAGTGGAGATGAAAGAACATGATAAGAGAGCTGGAATGGAGGTCAATGGAGATGACAGTACAATCCGCTTATATCGACATGCTGTGGGAAGTGGATTTGATGTCGATAGATAAAAATGTCAATAAAATGAAAATATAATATAAAGCCAAAGAGGAAAAAACAAGGGGAGGTCAGCGGTAAAAAACAACACTACTTTTTAAAGCTGCTTGCTTGCCTTGATTCTTGAAACTGACAAGAGGCGGAGGGGGGTGGTGGGTTGGAGTTACGGCACCAAAGACCGAGCAACGTGAGGTGCACACTACACACCTGTGCAAACTTTGTTGTAGCATCCTTGTAAGACCTGTTTATGGCCGCTTGCTTTGGAAAATGGAAAGGCGACAGACAGAGAATGGGATGGGGAAAGGGAATGAACGATCGGGAGTGGGGGTGGGGAGGTGATGCCCAGCATGTGAGACGCTCTTGTCTGTGAAGCGCAGTAGCCTACTGTGTTGGAGTTGGGGACTACACTGTGTAGGCCCTACATGACCTACTGAAGCCTGGTGTGTCAATGCTACTTGGTGGGTATGCGGACTAAATAAAGAACTAATGCATTGACCGTTAGCGTGGCTTTTTCCCCCATTTATGTTCGTGGGCTTTGCCAGGTACCCAGGAAGCATGTGGATAAAGCAGAGTGGGCCGAAAGAAAGTCGATGTAAGAGAAATTGTTTAGTGAAGATATTGAAGGAAAAATTTCGTAATTGGAAAACATGTCGATATGTTAAAATGTCGCTAAATCGGATGTCGATATAAGTAGATCATACTGTATTTTTTATAGAAGAAAAAGATGATACCAATAGCTCCGTATGTCAAAAAATTGATGAGGGCCTGATTCCACTGCATCGTGACACAAATGTTTTATGTCTTCATCGTCACCATTTGGATCCTTTAGTCAGCTAGGCCTGTATGCTTACACCGTGCTAGGACTGAGTGGTGTTTCCAAGGACATCCAAGCAAAAGAACTGAGATACTCCGTAAAATGTGTCGTGACGCTGTGGAATCAGGCGCTCGTCAGTTTTCAAGCATGTGGACTTATTGGTATCGCCTTAAAACTTGTTCATTTTCCTTCCTTTTTCAATGAAAGAAATACCCATTTATCTTGAATACAAGTCAAAATATCTGTGATTGAAGGAAGTGGGGGTTGCCTGTTTCAGAGACAAAATGGACAAAAAAATGGCCACCAAAGTTTGGTTATTTACATAGCCTGAGAGTCCATGGAAACTGACAATTTACATTTATTTTCTGTGCCTATAATCACCATTTTTCAGTAAAATCCACGCCCAATTGGTTTCTTAAATGGACATAGAAAGTGTTGAGCCAAAAAACAAAATTTCGATAAAAATTGCCAAACCGTAGGAAAAATGCCAGTTTCTTCTATTTCAACATTTTGACGAGTGCCTGGTTTCATCATGCTGCCTCACAAAAATGGCTTCCTTACCGGAGAACTGAACTCACATCTTTCATGCACTTGGTGCAGAGCATTGGTGTAGAGCATTACACCACCGGCATGAGTATTGTGCTCAGGGTTTCTTGGTGGGGAAACAGAATTTTGTATCCCCCATAGGTTGAAAAATCTGTTATAAACAGAATTTTGTATCCCCCATGGGTTGAAAAATCTGTTATAAACAGAATTTTGTATCCCCCATGGGTTGAAAAATCTGTTATAAACAGAATTTTGTATCCCCCATGGGTTGAAAAATCTGTTATACTAGGGAAATTTTCATTTTCCAGTGTTAATGTGGAATAGTTTTGTGCTGTTTGAACTGAAGAGAAAGAGAAGCTGTGTCAAATGAAATAGATAGAGAGCAACTGGCCAGCTTAAAAGAAAGGGCTCATCATCATCATCGTTGACCGCAAAAAGACAAAAAACTGTGGAGACTAGATCATTATCAACATCATCATCATCATCATCATTTAAAGTAGGAAAAATTTACTTGAGACTTGGATAGGATTGGTCATATTTAATCAGATATAGGTGTTTAATGTTTCGCCCATGGGGCTTCTTCAGGAACATAATATCTAAAAAAGAAAAAAAAAAAGAGTGATGACACAATAGCAACGAAGCGTTCACTATGAGTTACGTCATCATCATCATCATCATCATCATCATCATCATCATCATCATCATCATCATCATCATCATCATCATTACTGCCTTTCTTGCCCTGAAGCAGGGTATAAGCCACAAACAAATACTTTCCACCTTTCTCTATCCTGGGTGAGCCTCTTGTTAACGTGAGGCTGATAGTAGTGATAGGAGGTACAAAAATTTATTATACAGCTTGACATTCACAAGACCCAGATTCCTTAAAGTTCTGCTGAGGGGCTCTCGTGGTCGATATGTACAATGTTTGCCTCTCATTCAATAGGTCCCGGGTTCAAAACCTGACAGAGTCGGATAATATTCTTCCCCATAAAATTTTCCTTTCACCTCCTTTCCTGCTCTCTAAACATGTTCTGTTGTCTACTTTTGTTTCCACTTTCTGCCCCCTTAACACCCCCCCCCCCCCTTTTGCCTCCTCCTCTGAGCTCCTGACTCTTTCTGCAGCCTTCCTACTACTACTCCTCTTGACTCCCTCTTACTGTTGTCTTTCATCCACACCCCTGACCCTAGGGTAGGTAAGATATAACACCTAGTCTTCTCAGAGACGGGCGAAAAAATCTTGGAGGTCCAGTGTGCAAGTTGAGCACATTAACGATCCCTTTGTTGTCCTAAAATCGATAAGAGTAGGCTTCGACCATCACGCGCACAAAATCTAAAATCAGTTCCTACCAAATTGATAAATGATTAATGTGTCATGGGCGCTTGTACGACCTTATGCAGTTGCAAGCGCCATAAAACACTTACTCCTCACTCCCCCCCCCCCCCTCCCAAAGTTCAGATACAATTTTATCACACCATTAGATCAACTATATAATTGAATGAAAAAATTTCACCCAGAAATGATAAAAGTAAAAGAACGTTTTTGTTTGAACTGAGAACTATTTTGTTTTGTTTTGTTTTTTTGGTTGTTTTCTTTTCAATTACAGACCCTCACTGCGTTTACCAGCCAGGCTACTAAAACTTTTCTCCTTGAACAACTCCCTTCGACAAAAATGTCGAAATGCTCAACTGACCAGAAAAGTGATGCCAGTGGACCCGGCACAGCATTTTGTGGACAGGTTACGTCAATCACAGGTCAGTGGTCGGCCTCTATCGTGGTCATATTTGCGAGGGTTGTGGAGGGGACGGGGGTGCGCGTGCATCTAATGGCAGCTGGTAGCTTAGAACGTGGGTGGCTAAAACCAGGAATGGTGAACTTTTATTTCAATACCAATTTGTGAAGCAATCAATTAATTGACATCTCGGGACCTCAGTGCTTTCTTGTGGTATTTCCATTTCCAATAACAGGGAAAACAGTTTATAATAATAGCAAAGAGTGAGCTTAAGAAGAAGTCATATTTTCACTGTTAAAAAAAAAATGGAAATACAACAAGAAAGCACTGAGGTTAAGAACTCTAAATTTAGAAATAGGGAACCAAATTCTCTTCTGAATTTACCCCCCCATCCCTCCTTCTCCCCCCCCCCCCTCTCTCTATATCTATCAATCTCTCTCTCTCTCCCTCCCTTTTCTTTCTCTCGCCTCTGTCTTTCCTTCTCCCTCTCTGCATATTATTTGTTAAAATTACTTTTTGGTCTTTCAATGGAAGAATAACCACTAGACTACCGCCACCACAGATGAATTTTTCATGCACATGTAACTAATGATTAACGAAAAGGATCGTTTTTAATGCATAGATTACCTACTGCCAATTTATCAGTTATTGCTCCTTTCTTATCCTTTTCTCATATTTATCATCCCTTTTCCTGTGCAGTCGAAATTGTCTAAGACAGCCGCCCGTTTTCGAGGTGAAAAGTAACCTTCTTAGATAAATGGCCATCTTACACTGTGTCATTGTAATGTAAAAAAATATGCGAGGGAGGAAATGGGAAGTGGCTTTTTGTACAGGTGATTGTCTTGTAGTATACAGGTAGCCATTAGAGCAGATTTGACTATTCTAATCTCATGGAGGTTGACTAGACATAATTTGAGATGCACGGGTAGTAATAACTGCCCGCTACTTTCATTGAAAAGGAGCAAACATAGAGCACACGGTAGAGATCTAATGCCAGGTGCTTACTTTTCATTCTGTCCTTTTTTCCCCGTATCAAGTCTCTCCACCCCACGCGGTGATGATGTGGTGCCAAATCAAGGCCACGTTAGCCCTATCCATACGTCGTGTTTTACTATCGTATCCATACGACGTGGGGAACTCTGTGCCACCACTTTCCAAAGAGGAAATTTACTCGTTAATCTGATCCGTATGCTTTACATAGCAGTCTGTCAAAATGATTTTTTGAGAAATACTGAAAGTTTCAAAAAGATCTTCGTACTAGAAGTATTCTAAAATGTGAAGAATACAACCCGGGAGGTACAAAATGACCCCAGGGCATACGGATAGAAGGGTTAATTCACTGACTCAATTTGCATCAACACCAAAGGGCATCCAGCTTTTGCTCTCGCTCTCTCCTGAACACACGGTATGACGCGTCATAAAAATTGAATGTGTAATAATATAATAAACTTAGGCCGACTGTGGGTCATGTAGTCATGTAGGTCCAATTTGCCACCTATGTTCGTTGTTGTTTTGCTTCATTTGTTTTTTCCCTGCTTTCCTGTCCGTTTGTTTTAGGATTTTGTCAATTGTTGGGCCACTGTTATAGCAGAGCATGTCTGTCAGTACACCTGCTATATTCCCAGTTTCCTGTGGTTCCGAACTTGCGCAGTTTTCGAAATTAGCGAAATATTTGTTCGTTTACCCTTAAACTTAAACATTGGTAGATTTTATTTTATAATCTAAATTTCATTACAAAGATACTACCGGTACATCACTTTTTAAGAATGCATATACCTCTTTTACTGAAATACGGCTGTATTGGCTGGGGCTGGGGTTAGGAAGTGCACAAAAATGGCTTGGGCTGGAAAAGGAAGGATTAGATTGACAGTTTTTATCTGAATGAACGAGACACCAGTGGTGGTTATTTTGTGCAGTGTGCCCCTGGAGCAGAGATGTACCACAGAGCTCAAGCCCTTGCCTGTCTGCACGAGCACAACACTCTCCTGGATGTACTGAAGGATCTGAATCTTGAGCGTCTATCAGGTGATGGAGGTGCATTGTAGCAGGCACGCAGCAAGCATGCACATAGTGAGATACTCACATAGAAGGGAATTGATTTTCAAGTCCCTAATTTTTTTTTACAAGAATATTCTTTGTATTTAAAATACATGCATGGCGAAATTCATACATGATGTAACGGAAAGGTTTCCCATGTCCCGCCAATTCGGCTATGTGCGTGCTAGACTGAAGTATACTGTAGAGTCAAGACTTTACTTTTGTATATATATATATATGAGGGGCTGAGATTCAAAACCCGCTACTTTCATTTGAGCACTTTTGAGAAAAATCTGCTTTTTAGATTTTAAATAGTTCTATATGCACGAACTGAATGCAGAATGTACAACAGAGAGTGGCAGGGAGCTGGTCTACCAACACAGGCAGCTTGACTAAAAAATGTATGATGATTAAAATAATAAACAATTTGGGGTATAAAGTGGTGGTGGTAGGATTTGCCCAAACCAGCTACGGTATATCCCGAAAAAAAAAGTCCATTTTATATATTTGATAGAGATAGCTCTCTCTCACCCTCTGCCAGCAGGCAAAAAATTCTTTTTCCTCTATTAGTACTTTGCTAAATGTTGTGAGAGGACTACTGTGGTTGTCATTAGAGCAAAAGAGTGACATAAGTCGAAATCGTTCAAGCTGGTCGTCCATTGTCAAGCAGAAACGTGGTTGTCTTTGACACGTGTACACCGCCCCGGGGCAGTGCCACTGACTGAAGTGTCTTTAGGCCATTCCCAAAGGGGGGACATATCTCGTTCAAGCATAGTAGAATTGTAAATGGGCTGACTCATGTCACGCTCATAACTGTGCCTGATCTAAAACAGGGAACTGCTGCTTTTTCTTTCCTGATCCTTACTATTGTCTTTTTCCACTACTTCTTTTGTATGTTTGTTACTACCTTGTGACCGGGGGGCTCTCGTGGCCTAGAGGTTAAGGTGTTGGCCTCTCATTCAAAGGTCCCGGGTTCGAATCCGGGTAGCGACCGAAAAATTTTCTTCTCTAAAATTGTCTCCTTTCACCACCTTTCCTGCTCTCTAGCGATGTTCTGTTGTCTGCTTTCATTTCCACTATCTGCCCTCACCTCCTTTGCCCCCTCCTCTGGGCTCCTGACTCTTTCTGCAGCCTTTCTACTGCTACTCTTTGGCTCCGCCTTACTGCTGTCTTTCTGCCACACCCCTGATCTTCTGGTAGGAAAGATCTACACCTTGCCTTCTCGGACAAGGGCGAAAATCTCGGAGGGCCCGTGTGCAAGTTGCGCACGTTAAAGATCCCTTGGTGGTCTAAAATCGATGAGAGTAGGCTTCGGCCGCCACCCAGGCAAAATTCAAAAATTTCCTACAACTGAAAATATTAGGTGTGTCCCGCGCGCTCATATGACCTATGCAGTTGCGAGCGCCGTAAAACACTTTACAAAAACAAAAACAAATCCCTTGTGACCTGCTATTTTGGGGTGCCTTGATAGTCGAAGCAGACCTTGTGTTGTTGAAGCTAGAGAGGTGAGCAGTCTAAGTCTGTTTCCCTGGAAAGACTTCTCTGTTGACACCCACCCCTTGGCGCTCATATGACCTTATACAGTTACGAGCGCCGTAAAACCCTCTACTATTTTTTTTTTAAATGACACGTGTACGTCTTGGAAAGTGTCACCATGATGTAACAAAAAAAATGAAAGGGGGGGAGGTAGGAAGTGGTCGTTTGTACTGTACAGGTTACTGTCTTGGCCAGGTGGCTGTGGGAGCAGATTTGACTGTACTTTTTTTTTTTTTGGTAAGTGTTTTACGGCGCTCGCAACCGCATAAGGGACACATTAAGCATTTTCAGTTTGGTAGGAATTAATTTAGGTTTTTGCCTGGGTGGTGGTCGAAGCCTGCTCTTATCGATTTTGGAATCATCAAGGAATCTTTAACCTGCGCAACTTGTACTCAGGACCTTCGAGATTTTGTCACCTTATCTGAGAAGGTTAGGTGTCTGATCATGAAGAAATTATCTGGTCCTTTGAAGTTCATGTTAACATGTCATCAGTGTTTCTGTTTACTGCATTATTGCATGTGGTTTGTGCAAGAAACAAGAACAGTAAGGCCTAAACAAAATAGGAGAAAAAAGCAAATGACAAGAATTGATGGATTGAGCTCTTGAACTTGAGTCTGTGAAGTCCTGCTTGTCAGACAATACCCCTCGGGTAGACCAGATAAGGGGAATGTAGTTCGCTATCTCAGAATTATAAAGTTCTATCTTGACATTTTTGGCCATTTTGAGTAACTAAGACCATGAGATCAGAAAACGAATGCTCTATCTGCTCTCTATCAATATCATAAGATTATTCTGAGTGGTTATATCATGATTATATTCAAAGAATTGCATTTTGCATTCCCGAAAAGCTTGACATATTGTGAAACTTAAAATGTTTTACGTCAAATTGCTCAGAACTAGGTAGCCTACTGAGCAGATAGCACTTTGTAAAATAATTCTAAGGTAGCAAGTTGTTGACCTTTTTGGACCACTCATGTAGGCGCCTATCCTTTATGCTGACAACAGTTCAGTTTTTCTTTGTATACCCAGTAATTGGTAAAGTGATAATGATAATTATTATTTGATCAATATCATTTTATTGCATCAATAATGAAATGTTTGAGACAGTAATAAATGATGCTAGGGTGATTAGTACCGTAGTTGTTCTGATGTGGTTTTCTCCTTCTTTCCTGTCAAAGATTTATCATCCTTAAAATATCTCTCCTCCTTCTTTTTTGTGTTGTAACACATCTAGTCTTCAGCACTTATATGACCTAATTCTATTCAAAATGCAGTAAAACTTTTACAAAACAAAACAACAACAAAAGTAATTGATACAAGTATGTCCCATATATATTTGGATATGGTTGTGGTTCTGTTTTCAGAGAGTTCACCATACGAAGAACTAGTGAGAGCCAAAACTTCTCTGGAGTTCGTCCTTTCCAAGTTTGCAGAACTGGAGGAAAAGTCAACGTTTCTGTCTCAAGGTGAGTTTTTTCTGTTTTTAAAAAACGTTCAGTGAAAGTAAGCAAGATGTTCAAACCATGAGCTGGTCTGAAGCTGACTTCTGGCACGCAGTAACAGCTTGAAATGTTCGTTGCATCTGTAGTATATTCTTTGTTTTTGTATTTTATTTGTACCAAGAGTTGTTTTGCAGTCCGTTTTTAATTAAAGGTTACACGCTTTCACATAAAGTGAGATGCTGGACACTTGTTGCTGAGGTAATATCGGGTGCCCATTGCGGATGGGGTCGGGTCCAGTTGATCGCCCGATTCGTCTCCTGAAAACAAACATGTTTGTTTTTTAGCCGATCTGTTGGGCGATCATTTTTTGTGCCACGATAGCCACTTTGCGCCCTCAATCTGGCAAACAAACCGACCCGACCCGACCCGACCCGACCAGATCATGGCAATGGGCACCCGGTATAATTAGAAGTCTCATGCAGGCAAAAATCAATATGATTTTCAGTTGATGATAAGTCTGTAAGTTATACCAGAGGCCCTCAGTACTTGAGAGACTCATGAACCAAGTTGTACAAAGTATGGTTAGCAATATCGATGAAATTGCTCATAGAGATACAGTGGAGTCCACTTATAACGAGTCCAGAAATAACGAGAAGTATGTTATAAAGACACTATTCTAAAACCCCGTTTTTTTCCCTTCTTTATCTTTGTAAATAAAATACTGCTATAGCACAATCAAATCAGACAAACTTTTAACACACAAGTCAGTTATAGCGGAATATTGCTGCTGCTGTGCACAGTGCATAGGCCAATTATACATATTATGTAAAACCCCGCCAGTTGAGAAACGAGGTGATCTAGCAAAACAAAGAATGGGAGAGCTCACCTGTGCCAACAGTGAAGGCCAGAGGGAATGAATAGGGAGAGTGTGGCATGCGCAGACAAGCAGTACGCATCTCGTGATAGGCCAGCCTGGACTAGATTATCTAGGCCTACCATGCCTCTCACTTCTCCGATGTGGGGATGGAGAGGTCTCACTGTTGTGATGGATGGAGCGAGTGTGTGGCGTGGGAGGGGTGTGGTGAGTACCCAATGTGCGCGAGCCACGGCGCACCGGCAGTGGAATTTTAGTTGCCGCGGGGGGTTCCCCGCCGGGCGCCTTATCACGTTGGGGTCCCGGGGGTCAGCTCCCTGTCGCCGCTCTGTCTGGGCCGACTTAATTTTTGGTACTTTTCAACTTACTATTTAAGGTGTATCCTAGTATTTATGGTAATTCTCATTTAGTGCACCCAAAGCACGCATTTCTGCTCTTGAGACTCAAAAAAGAACGGACGTTGTAACTTGTCTGGTTATTTCGTTAGACGCGCTGGAGTCGGCAATGCTAAATTGTAATTTTTTTGGGACTAGCGTGAATGAAAAAAAATCAATATAAAAAAAACGCATCGTCAAAATCTGTCGAACTTTTGGAATATGAACGACATAACATTAGAGCAGATACTCAGAAAAGATGGTATCTGCGCTTATAATAGAAGGCTGTAATTTTGCAATTTTATCCATCGGGCACACAATTCGCTACGAAGTAATTCCTCCAAATACAACTTTATGTGTCTAATATAATCATGAATATTCGCATATTTTCTCGAAAGTTTATAAAAGTTATCATGAAGTTTCTCAATGAAAAGTACAAATCGATTTTAGTGCTAGAATATATCTTCAACGTAGATCTAATACACTCACAGTATCTGTTACACTCCAGAAATTGCTTACTTTTCTTAAAACGCTAAGTCTAGGTTTTGTAAGTTGACTGAATAATAAGGATGACTTCTCGTAATTGGGTTATAAGAATAATTTCTAGCTTTCCAGGGACACTGAATCAGCACCAGACTTTTCCAGCTTTTTTTACGTTTCTATGACCATTTGCAATAACTGACAATGTGACTGATTTCTTTACATTCATAATTGTGTCCGCGCATATTTCCTACACAAAAACTAAGAATGAATGTTTTAGCTGTCATTATTTTTATTCCATACTAGAAGTTTATCTCTACCCATGTATTTACACGGTTTTGTGGTTTTTAAAAATCGCTTATATTATATCTTTTTAGTTGTATGCAGGCTGCCACAGACACAGCATGATTCATGAACAAACGCAGAGTAACTTTCTCTTGTTTAATAGTAAAATAAGAGCTAACGCTGATCATCTTTAGTTAAAATATGCAGATGTGCATCTTTCTTCTCTTATAACTTGACTATTACTACTACCGCAGATTTAAGATTTCTCATGGTAAAAGACATGATATTCGTAGTCAGTTTAACACAGAATTTGGAGAGATCTGTCGTGCCTTTTTTAAAATAACAATCATTTATTCATAACTTTGTAACTAAAATAGGACAAATTGGGTACTCTACAAACACTTGTCTAGAACAAAAACTAAGGCACAGAAACTAACCATTCTAACGCAGAATAAATCTCAAGACATTGAACTTTTAGTACATCCGCGTAATGGTTTGCTGTGTGGGATGGGGAAGAAGTTATATCGTTTTAAACATTGTCAAAAATGCGAACTTCCCGACCGACACCGGCAAAGTCGCCTCAGGGCTCATTAACCCCGTGACCCCGAGCCAGGGAGCTCCGGCGGGCTGCTGAGTCACGCGAACTAAAAGTAACAGAATCGGGCGAAAAGTGACGCCGTGGAGCAGACAGAACGCACCTCAGTGTGTGGTGGGGTAGGGGACAACACAGGGGGCGAGTAAGCCTAGAGCCCTTTCTTTCTGGTCGCTGACGCCGAGCTTTCAACATCGCTAGCGCTAGAGAAAGAAACCTGATTCTATTTTTGATCAACTAGAGGTCATGTTGAACAAAATCGTCATCAGGGAGATAACAAAAAAAGAAATAAACAGGACACCAAACTCATAGATATTAGGCCTACTTTAATATCTCCGTTCAGTTTATTACTGGATCCCTTATAACGAGAATCCTGCTATGTAACGGATACTTTGATATTTCGCAACAGTCCCCTCCCTCTCATTATAACAGGATTCCACTGTACTTGGTCACTGCTGAGCATTCTTGAGCTAGTCATAATATTACCCCTAGCCCCCCCCCCCCCTCCCCACCACCAAAAAAAAACCCAACCTAGGATGTTCTCCAGAAAAATTTACAGCTTTGATGTACTTCTGTCTTTGTTCTGTTAGTGTTTCTATGCTTTCTTTGTTGGTCTGAACCCATTATCACCCACAAATAAATCTGGGAGGGTGAGAATGTTTTTGGGTGTTCTAGAGTCCTCTGGGGGTAATGAAAGATTTAAAGTTAAAGTGTATGGAGCATAATGTAGAGCTTAGAATGTGCTATACAAATTTATACGCAGTTATTATTGTTAAAGTTGCTCCTCATACCATTCTCACTCTCCATAGTATCACTTTTTCCAGTGAAAATGTATTTACAAATCAAAAAGAAATCTTGATGCTCATCAGTCTCATACATGGCCCAGAATGTGGATCGGCTACCCTGTGCACTGACAGAAGTTGAAAGTGAAGTGCCTATCAAATTGTTACCAGATGAGTCTAGTTGCAGGAGCCAATATGTTTGAGATTTTAAACTCTTTTTTGCTTTTTTTGTCTTCTATCTGGGATCTAGTACTGGTAGATCTAAGGTCTTTATGAAATTTCATGTTTGAGCTTGAATTTTTGTAAGGGCTTTTATACACAATACACACATAATATTATTCCATTAGAAAGTGCTGTCTTTCTGTAAACCTTATGCACTGGATACAAAAGGAAAATGTTGGGAGGCCTTTGTACTGGTTTTTGGTTGGATTTTTGTTTTCTTTTTTTTTTACATTTTTGTTTTTCTTTTTTTTACATTTTTGTTAAAACACTTGTTTCCCACAGTTCAGTTCCGAGAGTTGCCTCATGAGGACCTCGTTGTGGAGAGTGCTTCCGAGTCCCTGCCGGTGTTGTTGGCGTCCCAGAATCTGCATCACGGTCAGCATCTCGCACTATAACATACAGTGGAAACCTAATATAACAGGGATGGTGGGAGTAGAGAAAATGTCCTGTTACAGTGGAAACCCCTGATATAACAGGGATGGTGGGAGTAGAGAAAATGTCCTGTTACAGTGGAAACATGATATAACAGGGATGGTGGGAGTAGAGAAAATGTCCTGTTACAGTGGAAACATGATATAACAGGGATGGTGGGAGTAGAGAAAAATGTCCTGTTGTATCCGATCCCTGTTAAAATAAATCAAAAATGCGAGGAAAGTAAGCATTTGGGGACTAATCCAGCTGTACTTATTCATGAGTAGTTTCCCTTGCCACAAGTACCCACGAACAGAGGTTTTGGCACCAACTTTCTCCTTGCCTCCTTAAACCAGCATCTGCATCGGGTAGTCTCATCTTCTTTCGATCCAGAGCAAACTTTGCATTGGAGTGTGCTGCCACTATTTTCTCTCTATCCTTGATAATGGTGTGAATCGACCTTTGTGGAAAGTCGAACTGACGACAAATTTCTGCCAGTGGAGCTGGCTTTTTGTCAACAGCCGGGATTATTTCGTATTTTTTGTCAATTGAAAGGCATTTTCTCTTGCGTTTGACATCGTTGGTGACACATTACACGTCCGTGTTGCTACATGTAGGTTTCGGCCTAGATCGAGGTCTGTAGCACACTGCAGCCCTCTCTCGCTTCACACACTGCGTGTGCTTGCAGTGGCCTGGCTTGCGTGGGCTTGCTCCATCACTGCTTTACTCTCTCTCTCTCTCTCTCTCTCTCTCTCTCTCTGCCTCCCTCCCTCTCTCTCTCTCTCTCTCTCTCTCTCTCTCTCTCTCTTTACTCATTGTTAACAAGCCTTTGTCCCTGCTATAACTGGTTAGGCTCCGGTGAGGCCCTGTTATTTCCGATAACTTTTAATAGAGACGAAGACTGAAAGAGTAGGAAAAAACAGGGATTTCAAAAATCCCTGTTATTACTGGGCCTGTTATATATGGTTTCCACTGTATATGTAATGTAGGCCTACTGTGTCCATTCAGGCTGTAGGAGGGCTGAGACAGGACAATTTGCTCTTTTCCTGTTTGGCCAGTTCAAGTTTAATTAATAATAAATTGCATTTATATTGCGCATATCCACAAAGAAGTGCTCAATGCGCTGTACAATAATACAAAGAACATATATATGCAGCGCACAGCTCCTATAGTAATCCTCTTTCTCCCGCTCTCTCACTCTGTCTCTCTGTCTCTGTCTCTCTCTTTTTCTCTCTCTCTCTCTCTCTCTCTCTCTCTCTGTCTCTCTCTCTCTCTCTCTCTCCAGTAGGCCTACATCCTTGAGTAAAGACAATCCCACAAAGCTTACCCAGACACCCTCGCACACATTGATGAATTCACACAGTCATAACTTCTTACAGTTGTAGTAGGTAACAAAGGATTTAATTTACTCTCAGTTGTCAACATGCTTTAACTTATCACTTTTTAAAATTTAATTATTGAAGATTTTTATATTTTTCGTCTTATCCCAGGGATTTTTGTTTAATAACTTAAAAACTTGTAGGTGTATTTTTCTGGTGGTAATGTCTATAATGTATGGCATGCTTACAGTGGACACACGCTTAATTAAGATAAGATATGATAAGATAATACTTTATTGTCCCAGAGGGAAATTTTTCTTTGCTGTACAGGACTGTAAAAACACATGCAAGTATACATAAAAATTAAGATCATGTGGAATCTATTACTCTCATTAAAATTCAATTTATTTGAAAAGAAAAGTAAAACTGACAAATGTACATATCACACCAGATGCATCATTCAACCACAAGCAGGAATTTAACTACAAGACCTTTAGATACTTGACGTATATACTCACAAAAGCAATACACCTTGATGTTTATTTTGACATTAGCCTGATACTAGATGATGAAAACTTTTTTTGTAGATCTCTAAGATCTTTCCTTCTTTGTTTATAGAGGTAGGCCTATTTATCTAGATGTACCGCTGCGTGATCTTGCCAAGGCCTATAGAAGGAATAGGACTGATGTGTCATGTAAACAGTCTTTGTGTTGTAGTTGTAGTCATGTTCATTCGAGTGTGGAAGATTGGGACTTTACTTTTTCTCTCTCTATTGTTGTCATGTTGTTACACCTACGTATAGGTCCTGTCTCTCTATTGTTGCCATGTTGTTACATCTGCATGTAGGTCCTGTGTGGCAGATGAGAGAGCCTGGTCTGCTGGGAGAGCAGTTGGCAGCGTGTTCCGAGTGGCAGGAGCTTCAGTTCTCCCTGTGCCGGCTGGAGCTGTTGGCGGCCGTCACGCGGCGAGCGAAATCAGAGTGGTGGCCTGCACTGGAGAAGGAGAACGGGTGTGTGTAGGATTACTGGCATCGGTGGGGGGGGGGGGGCTAGAGGTAATATTATGACTTGCTCAAGAACGCTCAGCAGTGGCCAAGTATCTCTATGATGAGCAATTTCATTGATATTGTTAACCATACTTTGTACAACTTGGTTCACGAGTCTCTCATGCGCTGAAGGCCTCTAAAGACTTATCAACTGCTTCAGAAACACAGTGGTTAAGCTCTCAGACTCGCAACTGTAAGGTCGTGGGTTCGAATCTCGTCAGGGGGTCTGACGTTGCGTCCTTGGGAAAAGCACTTTACACAAATTTTCCTCACTTCACCCAGGTGGGAATGGGTACCCAGCTATAGACAGTAGAAAATCTTGTCAGTTTGTTAGTGTCTGAGCGCTTTATCGGCTGCTTGCACTGTATGCTTCCCGGGAAGCTGAGAATGATTCTGAGTGTACTACTGGGGTAATAATATAGAATATAGTGTGTAAAGCGCATAGAGCTTGCTGTCGAGCAGGGATATGCGCTATATATAGGTAGTGTAGACACGGCCTCACGGCCTTCCGAGCGCGTAGTATCGGTGAAATCGGGATAATTCTGATGGCTGTTTCTTTGCTCTTACGCTATAAAACACTAAATGCTCTACACCTTATAAAAGTTCAGCTTTTCCTCGTTTCAATGGTGTAAGTTCTTTATATGTCGATTATTAGGAGCTGGAGAATTGCTATGGAAAGCGAAGCCCCTCGCTGTCAGAATGCGTGGTCGGCTGGTTCAAAAAATGACACGCGTGCTTTCAAATGCTTTGCAGAAGGATTGATGATTAATAGTGTCTTTTTATTGGCGGAGAACTGTAGAACTTTGGACGGGCTTTCCTGTAGTATATTTTTAACCTTTGGCGTATAAATAGAAAGCCTTTTAAAATAGAGTCAAAATTTTCAAATACCATTTTTTTACATAAAATATGTAAAATACCGGCTCAAACAAGGTACATCAATGCTTCCATGAAACTCGGAAAGCATGTGATTCCCCCACGCGGGGCGCGCTCAGTACACTACAGCATAGAGCCGACTCGCTCGCCGTGGGGGGCCGGTGCGGCGCCAGCGGGGTCAACGCTCGGTGCTTTTGTCAAAATAAAGACAGATCATTGTGTTTGCGGCGATAAAATACTTATTTGTAATAATCTTACTTTCTTGGAAAAAATTAGGCTCCATATATATCTATGTTATAGTGATTGTACTCTGTTAATGTGGAGATGTTTGGCGCACTTGGTACTCTTTTTATTATCTGTAAAACATGGGGTTGCAGCCAGTGAGCAAGTTAAAACAAATTTGATCAAATTTTAAACAGCTACCATTTTCATAAAAATTGACTGAGATTTTAAAGAATGGTACCAAAATTCTCAGGAGATATAGGCCTTTCATATATGGAACAGATAAATTTGGCATCCAGCTACTTTGAAAATTTAGTTTCTGGTAGGCTTACCTACTATATAAATGCTATTTTTTATTATTATTGTTATTATTATTATTATTTCTGTAGTAGATCTTCGTGTATAGGATGCAACTCTTTACCTAAAAGTCAGGACTTCGTAGTCGCCCAACGTTTTATCCATGAGATATGAGATTAAACACAAAAAAAACCCTAGTGGAAGCCAACCAAGGGAACAAACTCACAAGTTGTGTGAGATGCTGACAGTCAGGGATGATGCAACTGAGATGAATGATGATGTACCTTTTTAATAGTGAGAGTGAGGAGTCTTTAAACATGCATGGGTACTAGTACTATAATTCCTTTGCTTTGACTTTCTGGAAATAAAATGGGCAACTTTTAGATGATGTTGCTCGTCATAAAAAAGTTGGCATGTCCTATCCTCTGAACATAATATGATAGACACCAAAATTTTGGCTGCCAAGTCTTATCAGCACATACGTCCTATGGTATGCAATGATACGTGTACGTTCGTTATTTCTGCGATGGTGTCACAAATCGAAAGTAGATGGTTGTTAGAGACAAGACATCCTATAGCTGACTGACCTGCCAGGACATTTACACTAATTACTGGCGTCTGTGTTTATAAGAAAATGCTTAACTGTCATTGAGATTAAAACAGATTTTGTTCTGACAAATATCTGCCTTGGATAAAAACTAAACCTGAAGAACATATTTAGATCTAGTTTCGATCAGTAAATGTTTGGATGACATGGAATTGTAGAATAGGCTTCCGACAAAATAGAGAACCAGTTTGTGTACAAGCATATTTCAAGATGCCCATTCTCTTTGCTGATCCTTTATTATATAAATAGACGGCTTCCGAAGACTACAATACCAGTGCTTATCAGTGTTCCCAAAAATGTGTTCGTGAAATATATATATTATACCATCTAGGCCTACATCATCAATGCCCTTCACCCTTGGCAGGGTACAGGCCATGGACAAGTGAAATCCTTCCTGTTCTGTCGTGGGCAAACTTTCCTAACTGACCTCAGTTGTGTCTCATTTTCAATTCCCTTCTTCATGCAAAGTTTCCGATCTCCTATGGCCTACCCCTGCCTCCTGTTCCCTGAGAATTCCACTGTAGTGCTTGTCTGGTGGTGTTATTTTTGGTTTTCAAAGAGAGTTTCCAGTTCAATGCCACCTTCCTACACAGCGCGATCTTGTTTTCCACTGGCTCCTGCCCTGCCTTTTCCCAAAACTCTGCATTTTTGACTTTGTCTTGCCATTTAATGTTTAGGAATTTTTGGAGACAGATGGTCTCAACCAGGTATCTAGAAGTAATGGCTTCTGCCTCCATACAGGCAAACGTAAAAATATACATGATAGGGCCTAAACATAAATGTACTTTTTATATAGTATAATATATTATTATATTATATATATATATATATATATGCCATTTTCTTTCAGAGATCCAGCAGTGTTGGAAGCAGTTCACAGTCTTCTTACATCTGCTGCACAGTTCCTGCCAGCTTTTGTTCAAAACCCACATCAGTTGTGACAGGCAATGCTGCTTTCAGAAGTGGATTTGCTCCTCTTGTTATTTGTTTATGAATTGTCTTCTGAGGAATAAACAATTCTACATGATTCGATGTTGCTGTTGGCTTTTTGTTTTTTCATTATTTTCACTATTTAAAGACTGGTTTTATTGCAAATTGTTTTAAATCCTGAAAATTGAGCCAAGTTAAGGGCAATGATTAACCAAAATTCTCTAAGATCATCATCTGATGGCTATGGAAATAAAATCATCATGAATTCTGGTGTCAATAATAGCCCTTTAAGAGGAAAAGATGGATTCTCTCACAGTCACAGTACAAAACAGATCATTACAAATGTGCGGATCGTTTCCTGATTTGAAAAGTTTGGAACAATGTCTTGGGGAATGCAACTGTTTGGTCCCACTTCTCTCTGTTAGAGATACATTGTGGACGACTTCATTGTTATGGTACCATGTTTTCCTGAGATCCTTACGTCTTTTGTGTGGACCAGTCTCTGTGGCTGAGACAGTGGGTAAATTTTTCAGGACAGGACCTAAATGGGTTAATGCCGATCGGAAACATAAAAAAAAAAAAACAACAGCCGGGGGGGGGGGCAATAACTTAATACTAATATACCAGGGTTCGCAAAGTTGCACAATGTGTTTCATCATGGTGAAATCGGGCACTTGTCAAAATAATATATATCAATAATATCGAAGAAGCCGACACTTTTCCTCAACTCCTTATTTGTCCATTTAAAAACACATTCCTTCTTGAGAATGTTACTGAAAAGTGTTGATCAAAGGCACAAAAAATGTAAATTTGCTGTCTCCAAAAACACTACAGCATCAGAATTTACCTAACTTTTGGCGGACTTTTTCTTGCCAATTTTACCTCTCACACAAGGCGATCCCATCCTCATTCAATCGCAAATACAGTGTGTGTCGCATTCAACGAGGTTGCCGGGACCGGCTTGATGTCCTCGTTGGATCCGACCTCTCGTTGAACGTGACTAAGGCTAAAGTAAGGAAAGGAGACAAGTTATTATATTATAGGATGTACCAATACCTGTAATTAAAACATAGTTAGATAGATAGGTGGATAGGTAGTATTTTTATAACGCAAATTCCCACTCAAAAGCAAGCTCAATGCGGTACAATCTATTGCATGAATCTTGATTTCTTTTTATCATATATGTGTAGGTGGGGGTTTTTTCATCAAAGTCAAGACAAAAGAACAGGCTTTAAGATTAGATCTATACCAATAACTAGATATCGCGGGTCCAGAGAAAAACTGTTCTGAGTGATATGTCGGGCGGAATGGAGATTTTTCAATGTCCTTAACATCCACCAAGGGACGCAACTTATGTTAAAACTTTAGAGGCGCAGCTTTAAGAGTTACAGCCCAAAGAAAAATTGTCCTATCTCGAATTTCAGAAAATATTTTGAAGAAATGTACAATGTGTATGTGGCAGTTAAAATACTTTTCCCACTTCGAAAAATTGCTAACGGTGGTAGAAAATGATGAAAACTATTATAATAAGTGGGTAAGTTAAAATACTTTTCTTCTCAAATAGCTCTGCCAAAAACAAAACAAAACTATTCTAATTGTGAGTAAGAGAACTTCTTTAGAAATAGTTTTCCTCACCCTTCAGTTCAGAGAAAAGTATTTTAAGTGACACTTTGCTAGATTTATTAAGAATTGAAAAAAAATTATTAGAAAACAAATCACAAAATGAGCCTGCCTACAGCCTCCCAACCCGTTTCCACCCAGCTAGAGCTCGCTTGATCTCTCCCGTTGTATCTGAGTTCAGGCCTTTCCTTACCCCACTAAACCCGAGCACAGGTAATTGAGTTTACATAGAAAAAAAGGGGGGATCCCGGTAAGGGGCTGTTCAAATATAATCTTTTGGGGGACTTTTTGACACCCCCCTCCCCTTCTTACACTTTTCTTATAATAATATGACATTTATATCGCGTAAATTCGTTTTACAATAATTTTTCCATGCGCTTTACTTACGGTAATATTCATGAAAAACATGCATACACACGTGCACATAATAATATATGCAGTTCTACATTCACAAAAAATAACTGTGTAAATCATTCAAGCAAAATATGGCATACACTCTTTCTTATGGGACTCATGTCAGTTTAAAAAGAGCCTTGATTACAAAAATAAAACAAATTACAGTGAAATTCTGATAAATAAAGTCAACACCTCGGAACCGACAAAAATTGTTGACTTAGAAGTTAGAGCCAGGTTGACATTAACCTCCATTGTACTACAAGTTCTGGCTATTGAAAATTGAAGATGACTGCTACAAAATTACAAAGTACCTGGTACATGTAACAAGATGTTAACTCAATTTCAGAGAGTATAATTCTGAAGTTGTCACCAAAACAAGAGATAATGAGTGAACAAAGTAATTGGAGGTGTGTACACAACTAGCTCAGGCCCTAAATATCTCTTCTTAAATGAATTCATCTAGGGATTTAGCCTCAAATTGTTGACTTTACGCACGGGTAACACTGAAGCGGTTGACTGTATTAAAAATACAATTATACTTAAACAAAGCAGGTAAAATACGGGACCACAGTGAGGTGTTGACTGTAAGTAAGAGTTGACTTTAAGCAAGCTGACTTTATCAGGATTCCACTGTATATGTTATTAATAGTCATAATGCTTAAAACAAAAAGTGAAATTAGTTATTATCAACAAAGGCAGAGCTCATCATTATGTCAAATATTTAAAACATCTGCACATACTGAGCTGTTTTCGAAATCTTGGTCCTGTTCGTGCTCTTTCTTCTCTTCTTCCTCCACCTCCATTAAATTCTTCCTCCGTCCTCTGTAAACCCCTGTGCCTCTTCACAAAGCTGCAATACTTTGAAAATATTTTCAACATCCTTTTATGGCCTGTGCACACTCTTTGGCCTATGCAGCCTTTCTTGACCAAGGCCACCTTTTTTTTTTTCACCTCATAAAAGTGTAATATTACATTGGTTCAAGACCCCCCCCCCCCCCTTTTTAACACGTTTCTTACAGGAGCCAAAGACCCCCCCCCCTCCCCTCTAGGTGTAAGATTATATTTGAACAGCCCCTTTAGTCCCGCTGTAGGGATGGTCCCGCCGCAGTATCGGGTGCCGCTATAGTCATATGTTCTACTGTAACAGTAATAGAGATTATAACATTCTTAATATTTATTAATCAACTGTCATTCATGGAACAAGAGAAGAAATTATGTTAGTCTACTAAATGTGTGAAGAGGTTTACACGAAGTCCTTTACTAAAAGTACTCGCTGTTTTCCGGAGAATAAACCGGATTGTACGTGGCAGTACTAGTAGATGCACCCGAACTTTGTGAGTGCGTGTACTGTATCGGCTGTTCATCCTTTATTCGTTGTTGATCAGCTTTTTCTTTTTGTTTTTTCAAAGCCTGTATTACGTCCATTTGAAAGTTCATGAACTGATACTGATCCAGCGAATCAACAGTCTCCATAATAGAACGAAAAAAGTTGAGCCTTGGCGACTCTTTTGATTTTTCAGCCTGTCGTTGTTTCAGCAGATTAAGGATTTCAGCATCACTCTGTATTTCTTCTCCTCTGCACTTATTGACGCCCCGTGTCTCTTCTCTTCTGCGTCTACATCTAGGTAGGCCTATTTGGTCTTGAGATTCACTTGTCGACGAATAGCTGTCTTGAGGTGGGCTTGTCACCAGATTTATAGGATTGTCTTTTTCTATAGCAATGTCCAGTTCACTGGCCACTGCATGTAATTCTGTGCTGTCCCGAGAATCAATATGGTCACAATAACGTAGATCCATGTCTTGCTCAATGTTTGGGTGGTTGCCGTACGATAAACGCAGCTGCTTTGCAGGCAGGAGAAACATCATTTCTTTTTGAAATTTCCAGTCCTTTTCGTTGTCTGCTCCACTGCCAGATCTTTTCAGTTTCCTCCTGAGAGCATTGGAGTAGCTTTTTGTAAGCATATCCCAGGTTGCCTTGGCCTTCATATGCGTGCCTGTGTTTAAAAGAAAATCAAAGTCTGTACAATGACATGATGTATAAATTACTGCGTTTCTCTAGGCACCCTTACTACTGTACATGCATTGCATAAAAAGAAGGATTCTGATAAGAAATCCGAGTCAAGATTAATACTGGTAGGGCCAACAGCTTACCACTAAAATTTGCGGTACAGCTTAAATTGATGCTCATATTTTAATTTTATTTCAGGCATATAGGCCTACATGTATATTTGGCCACCGGTGGATCTTTTGCTTCAACGAGTGTGCAATTTCATATGGATGCAACCACAATAAGTGAACACGTTTTCGCCACCTGCAATGTAATATGGGATGTGTTAAAATTGCAGCCTCTGGAATTGCCGATGCCAACACAAGAAAAGTGGCTACATATCGCTAAAAAATATGGTGATTTATGGGACTTTCTCTTAGCTATTGGAGCATTGAAAGGGAAACATAGAACCCTATGAACAGAGGCTAACAATTTTATAATTACAAAGATTTCCCAGGTATTGTGCTAATGGCCTTGAGTGACGCAGATTCTTGTTTCACTTTGGTGGACTGTGGCCAGTACAGAAGGATTTAAGCGATGCAGATGTGTTCGATGCTTCTCGATTATCTACCCTTCTTGAACTTGAAAAGGGAATGTTGAAAATCCCTGAAGTAAAATTCAAAATAAGCAATTCAGATATTGATATTCCATGCATGATGCTGGAGACGAAGCATTCCCTTTGAAATCCTACTTATACTTAATGAAACCCTTCGCCTCAATAACTCTAAATCCAAAAGGAAGGATTTACAACTACCGCCACTCACGATGGTAGCTGCCCAGCTAGTCACAGGCCCAGTAGTCATATAAGCTTAATTACAGCACTTTAACACTGCAGTTGTTACTTAAGTCTTTTATTCTCCACCTTCAAATTGGTGGTGTAGAGATAGTCCCTCTAAAACTAAAATGTCAATTCAGCTTGTGTAGTTCAATATTTCTTCCTTTTAGCATGCAAATCAAAGCAAATTACTCTGTAAAACTTCAACAATTAATGTTCTTTCGTTGAAAACAATTGAAAAATAAAATTCAATTCATACAATCAATCAATCATTCATTTACTCTTTTTGAGAGTGTCAGTGATAACTTCCATCATGAAGGGCACAGTCGAGGCAGGGTGGACATGTGACAAACTGGCATGCTTCCCGTTCTGTGGAGTGTCATTTGGCATTATATTGGCTATGAAATTCGAAATCTTTCAACGGCCGATGCGTGTTGAGCCTTATAAAGCGTGTGTATAATTTTATTCAACAAAATCAGCTGTGGTTCTGCATAACTTTATCTGCAGGCGAGATGTTGCACTATCACATACGAAACAGGGACAACACAACAATAGTTGGTCTGCAACCGCTCTCGTTAAACTCGAACCAAGTCGAACGAAGCGCACCAGCAGCAAGTTACTCTAAGGTATCGAATAACC